CTAACATTCAACCATCTGACCAGTTAAGCAAAAGCTTTGAGTGTGAGAGCCTCACTCTACCTTTCATTTGCTATGTCCTTGGTTTAGGTACTTCCGCTCCCTCACCCTCTTTTTTTGAGAGACAGAATCTTACTCTGTTGCCTGTGTCAGAGTATAGTGGGAAAATAGTAGCTCACCACAGGCTTGAACTTCTGGGCTCATGTGATCCTCTCGCCTTAGCCTCCTGAGTAGCTGGTACTACAGGCACACGTTACCATGACTGGCTAATTAAAAAAAAACTTTTTTTTTTTTTTTGCAGAGATGAGGTCTTGCTATGGAAGGCTGAGGCGGAGGGATCGCTGAGCCCAGCAGGTCGAGGCTGTGGTGGCCGTGAGCATGCCACTGTACTCCAGCCTGGGCGACAGAGTGAGACTCCAACTAAAAAAAAAAGTTACTCTGGTGTTCAGGTGGCGGACGTACTACAAATGGGTCGAGACAGGAAGTAGGGAGCTCTCCAGTCCTCTCAACTATGACTTCTCTTGGAGAAATGCATGAAGAGGTGGCCTCCACAGAGGGTGGAACAAACAGACCCTGCCCCAAACCTCTGAGTTATCCTGCATTCTCCACTATCACCAGCCAGACCTTCAGCATGTGCTGTCGGCTCTGCTTCCCAATCCATCCTGAACCCCTTTACTTCCTTCATTTCTGTTGCTGCCAAACCTCCATCTCGATGGCTGCAGCAATGGGATACCCTGCCTCTGCTCTTGTGTCATACCAGGTCATCTCCATTCAACAGCCAGAGTGATCTTTAAAATTGTAAAGCAAGGTCAGGTGCGGTGGTTCACCCTGTAATCCTAGCACTTTGGGAGACTGAGGCGGGAGGATTGATTGAGCTTAGGAGTTCAAGACCAGTCTATGCAATACTGCAAGACCTTGTCCCTATAAAAAAGTCAAAAAATTAGCCAGGTGCGGTGACCCGCGCTTGTAGTCCCAGCTGCTTGGGAGACTGAGGTGGAAGGATCATCTGAGCCTAGAAGTTTGAGGCTGCAGCGAGTTATGATCATGCCACTGTATGCCAGCCTGGATGACAGAGTGAGACCCCGACTAAAAACAAAAAACAAAAAAAGTAGGACTGGGCACAGTGGCTCACGCCTGTAATCCCAGAACTTTGGGAGGCTGAAGTGAGAGGATTGCCTGAGCCCACGGATTCAAGACTAGATTGGACAACTTGGCAAGACCTCAACTCTACAATAAATCAAAAGATTAACCAGGTGTGGTGGCTCATGCCTGTGGTTCCAGCTATTTTGAAGGCTGGGGTGGAAAGATCACCTGAGCCCAGCAGGTCGAGGCTGCAGTGGCTGTGAGCATACCATTGCACTCCACTGTCCCCCTAAGCTCCTCACTGCCAACACAAAATCCCTGTAGGATCTGGCCCCTGACTGCCTCCTCTGCTCTTCTCCTTCCCTGTTCACCAAAACCCGGGCACACTGTTCTTGTTCCTGTGCTCCTGTGGTTGCTACTCCTTTTGCCTGGGCAGCTCAAACCCTGACTGTCCCTTCACATGGCTGATTCCTTGTCTGCAGGTCTTAGCTCATCTCCTTGGATGGCCTTTTGCTAAGTACATATCCCCCTAGCTGTTTCACTTTCTTTTTTTTTTTTTGAGTCAGAGTCTCACTCTGTTGCCCAGGCTGGAGTGCAGTGGCACACTCATGGCCACAGCAGCCTCAACCTGCTGTGCTCAGGGGATCCTTCTGCTTCAGCCTTCCAAGTAGCTGGAACCACAGGCATGCACCACCATGCCCGGCTAATTTTTTAAATTTATTGTAGAGATGAGGTCTTGCCAAGTTGCCCTGGCTAGTCTCAAACCCCTGGGCTCAGGCAATCCTTTCGCCTCCGCCTCCCAAAGTGCTGAGATGACGGGTGTGGATCACAGCACCTGGCCTTATTTCCTTCTTAACACATATTACTGCCTGAGATTATATTGTCGATACACAGAGAATTCTCAACATTGCTACTTTTTTTTTGTAGTAAGTATTTATTAGAAGACAAGAAAGCTCCTGGCAACAGGAGGGAACCGGCAAGAGGGTTGCCCAACATTACTACTTTTGCATTTGTATTAATTTTGATTACACAAGGAATACCTAAATGTGTTTTCCACAGAGCCTGACAGGTAAAGCCAAAATACCCCCTTAACCCCTCCTTCCCCATCCTAGATCCCTCTCTGGAATGAAAGCTCCATTTCTCCTATTGACCTCTGAATCTTAAGTCCCCAGAACCACACATGGCACATTCAATAAACAGTTACTGAATGAAGAGTAAATCAAGGGTCAAGTAAGGTTCTGGCTCTACTATGCATTCTCTTCCCTTTGGGAAGGGCTAGATGAAGGGAGGTCAAAGGCCAAGGTCCAGAGGAGGCTATGGATTTGGGCAAACAATTTAGTTCCTCGGAACATCAGTTTGCTTATTTATAAAAAGAGAAAAGAGCATTTGTCACATTGAATGGTGAGCACCGAGCAGTGCCAGGCATACCACACACCCCCTCATGAAGTTTACAGGCTAGTGGGGATGGTTGCACAGGACTCAGAATCCTGCATGTGGACTCCGCAGTCTACCAATCTGTTCAGTGTCCCTAAATGTTCAAGCCCTGCTTTCCAAACTGCTCCCAAAAGTGGTGTGTAGGGGCAGGGCTACCTGAAACCACTTGCTGCATTTTTCTGGATATACTTGGAAGTAATTACAAATATTGTTTTTATAGTAAAACAAACACAAATATTTGTTGAGTAGAATGAAGGATTTGCTTGAATTTTTAAATTCACTTATTTATTTTTATTTATTTGAGTCAGAGTCTCAGTCTGCTGCCCAGGCTGGGGTGCAGTGGCATAATCGCAACTCACTACGGCCTCAACCTCCTGGGTTCAGGCAGTCTTTCCACCTCAGCCTCCCTAGAAGCTGGGACTACAGGGGTGTACCACCACAACTGGCTAATTTATTTTTCGTAGAGAAGAGGCTTTTCTAAGAGGCCAGGCTGATTTCAAACTCCTGGGCTCAAGCAATCCTCTTGCTTTGGCTTACCTAAGTGCTGGGATTACAGGTGTGAGCCACTGCACCTGGCCTGCTTGAATTTTTAAATTCAGGTACTTTGGACATCAGCATGGAGAGAACCATAAGAGAGCCTCTGGTTTGGTCAAACTCATGTTTCATAGGTGGAGACACTGTGATGTGAGAGCAGCAGAACCCGGTCTCTCCATCCTGCTTGGGGACCTCCTGTGTTATCATGGAGGACTTTCAAGATCCCTGACCCCTGCAGAAACAACAAGTTGCTTCCTCTCCTTCCCTTGTGGAGGTGAGGGTGAGAGTGAGCCCAGAGAATTACACTAGGAGGGAGCCTCTGGACCTTAATCCATATTCTCCTTGCTGCTAACATTGCCCAATGGGCCACCCTGCCTGCCCATCAGCCTCCCTCCACCCCTCACCAAATCTGGACATAATTATGGTAATTATACTGGGCTATCATTATCAGCTTGATATAAACTGCATAGGTAACTGCTTCTGAGCATAATTATAGGAGTTGTTTACATACCCACAATAGCATCAGAGTAAATGATGGCTTCCTTTCCCTAATACTCCAAAATTAGGGACCTATCAGGGCTAATCAGCCACATCCCAGTAGTGAGGGTGTGGAAGAGACCTCCCACACCCTCACTACCTGCAAAGCAGGAAGGGACCTTGGACAAAGCGGGGTCCCAGGCAGGATTTCCTGGGACATCACGAGGCCTGCAGAGGAGTAGGCTAATATCTATTGGGCACCTACTCTATGGAGGCACTCATGGGAGGCCAACAAACACAAGGGAGTGCTTTTTCTTTCTTTTTTTTTTTTAGTTGGAGTCTCACTTGATTGCCCAGGCTGAAGAGCAGTGGCATGCTCACAGCTACCCCAGCGTCAACTCGCTAGGCTCCAGCAATCCTTCCGCTTCAGCCTTCCAAGTAGCTGGAACTATAGGCGCGCACTACCAGGCCTGGCTAATTTTTTAATTTATTGTAGAGACAAGGTCTCACCATGTTGCCCAGGCTGGTCTTGAACCAGTAGGCTCTGGCAATCCTCTCGCCTCGGTCTCCCAAAGTGCTGGGATTACAGGCTTAAGCCACCGCGCCCGGCCAGAGTTCTTTTAACCTATAAACAATTTTGCAAGCTGATATTAATATCCCCACTTTACAGGTCTGAAAATAGGTTCTAGGAGGCCTGATGAACAGGGCCAGCCACAGTAGGCAGAAGAGCTGGGCATCGGTGCTTCCCGCGATATCGCCCGGCCCAGCTGACCTCCCAGGGCCCAGCGGGCCAGCTCTGTCCCCTTCCTTATCTCTTCTCACAGCTTCCTCTTCCCGGGTCGCCTTCCGGCCGCCCCTGCTAGCCTCGGGTCCCCCTCCCACCCTGCTCGGTTCCCCAGTGTCTACGCAGTCTACTGCCCCTCCACCCCCTTTTCCTGTCTGTTGGATGGCTGGGTGTTCTCTCTCCAGAAGAGGCCGAGGTGGGGGTGGGGTTGGGTGGGGGAGGGTGGAGAACAGGGAGGAGGGTGGAGAACAGGGGTGAGGGTCTCGCCAGGCATCCCTGAATCTCCCACCAATTAGGGGCGCCGCCCGGTGCTCGGCCTTGGGGTCGGCGGGCCTGCGGCGTCCCCCTACCCGCACACACAAAGGCCGCTCCGGCATGCGCGGGAGAGCGCGCTCGCACCCACGGCCGTGCGCACACACGCGCAACTGCACAGAGACGTGCACACTCTTCCATCCACACACATTCACCCCCTCATAGGACCTCTCACACAGCCGTGCGCCCCCACTCTCACTCGGGGACGCAGCCGGTGGCCCCAGATGCCGACCTTGGGGCCCTGACACGTCCCGCCGCTCTGCCCGTTGCTCTGGGCGGCGCGCGCACATGCAGACACGCGCGCGCGCGCGCATACACACACACACACACACACACACGCTCACACACACACGCTCACACACACACGCTCACACCCGCACAGTTCCACGCCCCTGGTCGAGGCCCCGGCGCTGTGCGGCTCCGCGGCGGGCGGCGGGCGGCGGGCGGCGGGCGGCGGGCGGGCGGGGACCCGGGGCGGGGGCGGCGGCGGCTGCGGCCGGGAGAGCGGAGGAGGCGGAGCAGGGAGCCGGGAGCGGGCTGGCCCGCGCTCCTCCTGCTGGCCGGGGATTTTCCAGCCTGGGCGCTGACGCCGCGGACCTCCCTACGGCCGCCGAGGACCATGGGCGACAAAGGGACACGGTGAGTGCAGGCGACTGCCGGGCCCGGCGCGCGTGGGGCCATCTGGGCGAGGGCACCGGCGCGGGTTCCAGTTCCAGTCGGCTGTGCGTTCGCGGGCACCCCAGCACCCGGTCTCCTGTGTGGTCGCCCGCAGGGGCCGTGGGTGAGGGACCGAGAGGGAGGGCAAGGACCCGGGCTCCCCAGGTGGGCCGCGGCTTCTGGCAGGGACACACACGCACACACACTCACTGGCTCGCTGACACCCAGCACTGGCTGGCACACGCAGAGACGCACGGGGGCAGGTTGACACACAATACACACAGGGACACACTAACCCGTGGGCACACGTGTGCTGGCACACACACTTGCAGCCTCTGCCACATACTCGTCACACACAGTGACATGCTGTCACACACGCTCCCTGGTTCACACATGTCAGTTAACACATTCTTGTTGACAGCCTTGTTGGCATGCACAGGTCGCACTCCAACACATACCAACTCTAACACACCCTCGTGGACATATGCTGACACACACACATTGTCACCTGCACTCGCCATAACAATCAGTCTTGCTGGCACACACACGTCACCCTCACTGACACACATACTTGTGCTGGCACATGTCTCATTAACACAGTGGAGCGCAAGGCCACACAAACACTGGTCCCCACAGACACGCATCAGACTAATGTCCACACAGGCACCCCACAGACACAAGCTGCCAGCCCCCAGGGTTAGTGACACACTCACTCCAGGCCCCACATGGCCAGAAGTGGAAATGCACTCATATCACCTGGGTGGAGGCGCACCCCCCCCAACCTGGGGAAAACAGGTCCCATCCATTTGCTCAGTTCCCTTTCCCTGTGACCTCCTGAGGAGGGCTGGCCAGGAGCTGTTTTGATCTGAGGGCTGGGGGAGCCTCTCCTGTCTTCTTAGAACCTGACCTGAAAGACTCTCAAAGGGGGAACTGGGACAAAACAGGGAGAGGGCTGAGGCAGAAGCAGCCCTTCAGAAAGGACCAGCCCTGGTCAGGGGCTCTGCTTTGCCCCCCAGGTTCCCATCACCCTCTTAAGAACCCAACAGCAGTCCCTCCCTGGGCTCTTCTTCTGACCCCTTCACACCTTCTCTTTCTCTTGGTTTTCTTTCCTTATCCTCCCTATCCTCGTGCCCTACTTCTCCTTCCTGTCTTCCCTCTCTCCTCTCTTTCCTCTCTCCCCAATCCCCGTCTCTCCTTGCTTCCAACATTTATTTATTGAGCTTCTGCTGCATACTAGGCAAAGTGTTGGGGATCAAAGATGTGTGAGACTCGTTTCTCCCCTGAAGGAACTAACAGACTAGAGAGAGACCACCCCAGTGGGTGTCCCCTTTCGGGGCCACTGACAAAGCCATTTCTCACCCACTGCCATCTGAGACTCTCTCAGCAGCACCGGAAACATCTTCCAGAGATTATTTCCATTTTCCAGAAGAAGAAACTGAGGCTCAGAGGCAGCTTAGGCTCTTAATGGTTAGAATCTTCTTCCTTGCCATCCTCCTGACAGCTCTTCCAGGAGGTTAATTTCCCTCTTCCTGTATTCCCCCGGAGACACCAGAGGGTTAGAGAGGTCACTTGATTTGCTTCAGATCCAGAGGGGTCAGAGATAGGAGCACACTTGGTCCATGTCTCTGTGGCTGGCCCTTGGGCACCATCTGGCCTCTCACGACCAGGGAGAGGCGCCCTGCTCTGTGCTGGAGGCCCAGGTTGTCGGGGAGATGGCAGAAGATGGTGATGCGTCTGTGTGCACCTTGATGGCTAGTCCCCGCTGCAGTTGGCTGGCCAGCACTGTGACCCAGGCCTCTGTCCTCAGCAGGAACGTGTGAGACTCCCTCCCCCGCCACATTTATCTCCCCCATGCCTGAGAACCTTTTAACTGATGAGGCTGGGCTTTTTCTTCCTGCAAGGCATGGCCAATCCCTCATCCTTTGTCCCTCCTGTACTGCTTTGTGATCAGGGTGACTCAGCCCCTCTTGGGCCTCTGTGTGACTTGGGGAGAAGCGTCATTGCTTCCCTGCAGCATGGGCTGTCAGCAAGACGAGGACACTGTGGGCTTCTGGGCACCTGTTGGAGACCTTGTCTCTGGGGCCAGAGCTTTTAGTATTACTCCTATTACTCCCCCTGCTCTGCCTCTAAGTCACTGGTGGACCTTGGGGAAACTGGATAATTGCTTTCCCTTTCTGAACCTCAGTTTTCCCATCTGTAAATTGGAGCTATCAATACTTACATTTTTCAGGCTCTGTTTGTGTTTACTGAATTCCCTGGGCGGGGGAAGTGGTACCGCCTGAAGCTTGGAGCCAAGGCCTGGTGAAACTCCAGTCAGTGGTGGCCCTGGGCTCCCCCTCAGGCTCCCCTGCGGGCCCCAAGGTCTCCCTCTCCCTTTCTAGTTTCCTGAATAATTTGGAAGAGCAGGGCAAAATCAATAATGGGCGGAATCCTCTAGTATTCTGTAAGTCACTGGATTCTACTTTCTGTAAGACTTAGAAGAGGACACTTGCAAATATCTAATTTTCAGCGACTCTCAATATCAAGAGTCATCGCCTCCACCCCTTCATCTGGAATTGTACCCCTATATAAAAATCACAATGAAAATTAATCAGAAACCGTCACTGCCTCCAAGAACTCCCAGGGGCTGAAACAAATACCTACACAGGACTAAACACAGGGCAGGGGAATAATGGCTGCTGTAGCAAGTTGCTCTGGGAACAATCATGCCAATTCACCAAATGTGATGAGTGTCTCTGAGTGCCTGGAGACTGGGGACTTAGAGATGAATGAGTCCACTCCGTCCCCAGGAATTTAGAGCAGAGCAGGTGGTTATAATGCAGGTGACATGTGCCATGGGAGACCTCAGGAAGAGTCCCCAACCCAGTCCCGGGCAGGCGGCAGGGTGAAGGCTGCTTTCTGGGAAGGTGGTGGGGTTTGAGCTACTGAGCTTCACCTGGAAGGATGGGGCAGCCCAGGGGGTGGGAATGGGAATGTCATTCCTGGCTGAAGGTGCAGAACATGCAAAGGCTTGGAGGCAGGAGGCCGCATGTGCGGCCTGGGGGTTGGGCTGGGGCTGATGTACTAGCCTTAAAGAGGTCAACACAGGCCGGTCACCACCAGCCTGGGAAGAGGAGAGAGGATTTTCTTCTGAGGTTGATGGTGATCCAGAGAAGAGGAAAGGGAGCTGATTTTCATTTCAGACAGATGCCTTTGGCAGTGACAAGGAGGGTGGAGGGGAGGAGCAGGCCTAGAAGTGGGCAGGGGAGAAGCCTGAGAACTAAGGCTGTAAGCTCTGAGCTAAGGCTGCAGGGAGGATGGAACTGAGAAACATGAATGTGAATAAGAATGTGAAGTCCGTCAGTCTTGCTATTTATTGGACCTTTGCTGAGTGCCTGGTATGCATTAGAATTACAGGCATAACCTCATTGGATTTTCCAGTGGTTTAGTAATGTAGGGATTATTGACCCCATTTTGCAGATGAGGAAACAGACTAGGAGAGATTAAGCATTTGTCCACTGCCATTCAGCTGGCGAGCATGTGAACCCAGGCCTGTCAGCCCACAAAAACCTCTCTTTGCCCGGAGTAAGGGGGATTTGTCTGGCTCCCAGTAGGCCTGTCTGGCAGCCCCAGCCTCAAGCTATGCAATCTTTATGGGCCTTGCTGTTCCCACTAACTCAACAGGCAATGTGGAGGATCAGATTTAGACAACAGAAGGGACTTCCTGGGAGGCAATGGGATGGAATGAAATTTCCTTTCCTGTAGATGTTTATGAACTCTTCTTTTTTGGGGGAGAGGAGGGCGGCTGTCATAGGGACGTGTAATCACCAGCTCTCTGTGAACTTTGGCTGTCATTTCTCTTGGTGGTTAAGCCCTGTGTGACCTGTCTTGGCTAGAACATGGGGAAGTCCTGTGGTTTTGGCCAGGACTATTCCTGGGGCTGTTGGAAGCAGTAGCATTGAGCCTGGCCCACTGTCTCTGATCCCTGATTCTGGGCTGGCCTCTGGGCTTCAGACTGCCCAGCTCTCTTTCTTCCAAGTTTGGGCCTCCTTGCCTGAGATTGAAGTCTCCCACTGGTGTGGGTTCAGGGGTACTGAGATGTGGGCTTCTGATACTTAGGGCAGTGGCAGTGGAAGAACAGCAGGCTTGGAGTCAGCACACTCCCAGTGGAGTCCTGGCCTCTACCCGGCCAGAATGCCCATGTTGACCATCTGGCTGAGGCGCGCAGGGCTGGGAGCAGCCTGGCAGAGGAGCCAGACTGTCAACTATGGGTGGGAGGTTGAGGTAGATGCAGGGAGGCTTCTGCATAGATGGATCGGGGACTCGGGGCAGGATCAAGGTGGGAGGCGGGGGCTTGAGAGTCTTTGGGTTGAATGCCAGTTGACTTGGGGAGTATGGATAACATCGTGCAGGGAGAAGGTATTCAGTGTGAAGAGAGGGTGACCAGGGACAGCCAGGGCCTTGAAGAGCACCGGTGCTTAGGGACAGAGAGAAGAGGGAGGGACCCATAGAGGATGAGCTGGGCTAGACGCCTTGGATTTAGCTGGAAGGCAGAGGCTGGTGACTTGGGGTTTTGATGGAGTGGTGAGGGCAAAGGTAGGCTATAGGGGGCAGAAGTGAGAGGGAGGAACCCTGCTTTCTACATGCCAGGAGATGGGGTTGAGCCTCTTGGAGGAAGGGCATAAGGCCCTGGCTTGGGGGCAGTGAGGGCAAGGGTGCCATGGGTGTGGGCCTTGGGGAGCTCATCCCATTTACCTCCTTCTTCTGCTTTCTGTTCAGAGGCGGAAGATCACTGCCCTGTGCTGTCTTTTCAGGCTCAGGCTGAGGGGTGGGAGGGACATTGGTGAAGTGTGAGCTGGTCCCAGGAAGAGGGGTACACTGACCTGGTTCTGGGGAGTGGGGGTATCTGACTCAGGTGAGGAGCTAAGCTGAGGAGGGTACGGGAGCTTAGGCAGGAGGGTAGTGTTCTAAGGAAGGAAGAGCCTAAGCCAAGATGCAGATGC